GAATAAAACAGTGGAGTGATGGCAAAAATTACAAAAAAACAAAAACATTTTAATTGATGCAAAACACTGATGTGGCTGAAATGTGACTTTACAAAGAACCTACACCTACAATAAGTTAAACAATCTTATGTAGCAAATTCTTGACCACAGGTGCAAACTCCATTTCTTGAGGGCCGGTGTCCTGAAACTTTTCCATGTGTCCCTGCTGCAGCACACCTGAATAACATAAGTAGGTCATTAGCAAGACTCCATAGCACAGGGGTGTCAAACTCCAGGTCTCGAGGCCTGCAGGTTTTAGGTCTCACCCTGGGTCAACACACCTGAATCAAATGATTAGTTCATTACCAGGCCTCTGGAGAACTTCAAGACATGTTGAGGAGGTCATTTAGCCTTTAAATCAGCTGTGTTGGATCAAGGACACATCTAAAACCTGCAGGACACCGGCCCTCGAGGCCTGGAGTTCGACACCTGTGAGTTAAGTTCTACAGAGTGTTGCTAATGACCTACTTAAGTTATTCAGGTGTGCTACAGCAGGAACACATTTAAAAGTTTCAGGAGACCAGCCCTCGAGGACTGGAGTTTGACACCCCTGTTCTAGACAGTAATAAAACATAGTCTAAAATTTCTCATTTAAAATTCTGCTTGCATTTAAAAAAAAATCAAAAAAAATTATGTAATCCAGCCTGAGGCACTCTGGTTCTTGGTACTTTGTTTTTTTCTAACACTGCAGTGCTACCTGCAGCACTGCCAGCCGAGCACCCTCCAAAGGTTTGTCAGGATCCACCTTCACCTCAGATGTGTGGGTGAACGCCTGCAGCTCCAACACCTTGGCGCAGGCCGCAAAAGCACCCTACAGCAGAAAGGAAGGCATCTGATCATAGGTTCCTCAAGTCAACTTACTTCCAAGGTGATAAAGCGTGCCTGCTGCTGCGGTTTGTCTGGGTTAACTTTGACTGTCTGGCTGGACTTGAACTCCTGCAGGCCTGCAAGGCTGTAACATGCCTTAACTGCACCCTGGTCAATAGGTGCACATGAAAAGACATGTATGCATGCACAGAGACAAGACGGCCATTAGTGATTCAAAATTTAAGAACATCACTCAGAAGCTGTGCTGGTGCCCTGAGTGTAGCAAGAATTTCACCCCTACAGCCCTTATTATTTTCTTCAGCTATTTATTTACTTACTTACAGTACTTTACATGTAACCCAGACAGTCACATGCTCAAATTTTTCCTCTTCTTTCTTTTTTCAAGTATATTTATATTTTTAATTCGAGAAGGAGGGAGGAAAAAACTGGAGACTAGTGGCAGAGGTTGACCTGCCAGTGCATTGATTTGAATGAGAACTGCGCTGCAGCTCTTCAGCTAAACTGCTTTAACCTGCCTTGAAATTTGGGATTCTGTTGTGGACGGGCCTCGGAAAGTTTGCCAGATTCTTTTCTTCTATGTAGTCCCAAACTTTCTGACGAATGTCCCATTTCGATTCTCCTGGAGAGAAAATTGGAGTTTAACATAAACGCTAACCGAAGCAACATTTACGTTTTCAGCATCACATTTAGCGAATCGACGGCTTTAACAACAATTTCAACGGCAAAACAAACGTTTTACAAAACACTTGACCTACCCGGGTTGATTTTTATGACGGGATCCATCGCTTTATTAGAGCCAGGGGTAGGTTTATTCTACAACACTCGGATGCACTCCACGCAGTAATATCGTACACGTGAGCTCTGTAACATAATACTAACGGAACAGCTGCTTGTCAATGTTTATCATTGCTACGGCGGCTCAAAGGGACGATCCTAACGAAACGCGAATGGGAAAGGTGGTTTTGAACTTCGAGGCAACCGTAGTCTGATTAGCAGAACGCTCGCGCTTCTCTAAATACAGAAAGTACAGTCGAGACAAAGCTAATTTTCTTACTATCGACAAGTGTGAAGTCAATTATTTCAAACCTTTTTTGTTAAAATTTTGATCTTTATGCCTTACAACAAAATGCATTTTTATATTGACATCAAATGATGCGTGTGGAAAATGGCAGTCAAAGCTCTGTCATTTGTATGAGCCAAATTAAAAGAGTATGCTGGTGTGGTATGGGTCCACTGGTTTTTTCTTCCATTTTTTTGTAAGATAATCATTTCCTTTTAAACATTATTTTACAATTGGAAGACAATCAAGAGATATTTTGCATTTTTTAACATTATTTTGGAACCACTTTTTCAACAACTAGGTTTACATTATGTCTCAGGACAGGTGTAGTTTACACAACAGATGCTTCAGCATGGATTATTTTTCAAATTCACGGGTGGGACACAAAATATCCTCCAACAGTAGGATGAAAATGACTGAAAATACCCACTTTCATTTGTTAGGAATGGGGTCACTAAATGGTTTAATGGAAACTCTGTGAATTATATGGTATTGATTTTGCTTTGCAGGCAACACTTCTCACTCAAGCACTGGACTGATGTGTTAGCACCCATATCATCAATCATCAAAATAACAACTCATAAAATATGTTATGAGTTGTTATGTTTGCCTTGTTTTTTTGTTTTTTTTTTGTTCTTTTGTTTCTTTTCTGTGTTTTTTTTTTTTTTTTTTTTTGTTTGTTTGTTTGTTTCTTAACACAAAAAATTGAACACAGGATGGGCTGGTGCAAATTCTTTAAGGTGGCCAGGAACATTAATTTGCAGGGTTCCAGAGCACTATTGTCTGTGTAAGGAAAGGGCCACTTCAGCATCTGTTATGGAGTGAAAACAGGCAGGATAGGGTTGTGGCTTCAGTGCGCGCTTTAAAACAGCAACTGATTGTCACGAATGACAAGCTGTGATAACAGCAATCTTGCAGGAAACAGGAAATAATCTGAAAAACTTAATGATGAAGTAATTGTTAAGATGTGCTGGTCAAAACTGTTTAAAATCTCAGTTCCGGGCTATTATGGCTTGTAATTTACCTCCTAAATTTGTGATCCATTAAGACTTTTTTGAGAAATTAAACTAAAGGAGAAAGGAAATAATATTAACGTAACCCAGACTCTACAGCATCACGGGGTCTCTGTTTAAAACCCTCTTATATTATCTATGTCAGGTTTTACTTTATTAATATGTTTCCACTTATTAAACAAACAGCTTTGTCTTCTTTCATAGTTATAAAATTTTACTGTACCATATTTAAACTGGAGCACCACCTGCAGGTCTTTAGATGTCATAAGGTTTTCAACCCAGATGTAAAATGCACAAAAAACAGAAATCTATAGTTTACATGCTTAACCATACGTGTGACACCTTAAAAATATATATATATATATATATATATATATGACACCTTTTTTAGTAGTCATTATTTACATGTCATAATATAATAATATAGTGGGACTGATGAAATAAGTCAGGAGCATATTCGCTGCACCATTTTAGCCTTCTTTATCACCATTACATATTTGCATATGCCTCTGTTATCCAGTGGGATCTGTCATATTTGCATTTGACTGACTAAAAACTGTAAATAAAGGGAATTTTAATAATTTACATATACATTGTTTAGTATGTAATTACTGTGTGGAGAAACAAAAGTGAGAAATGCAAACAACAACTAAAAAATATCTCTTATTATTTGGAAATGCACTATTGCCCAGTCTTGCATGATGTGTGATCTGTGGATAAATTATTTTATTAAATCTTATTTTGATAATGCTTTAGTTAAGGTTATAAAGGCCCTAAATTTACAATGTAATGTACTATTTACGAGTCTGAGAAAAAAGTCTGCCCTCATACCTTGTAAACTTAATAATCAGAAATCAGAATCAGAAATAATCAGTGGTAAGCTTTTGAAATGTTTAAAAGTAAGAGTTATGAACTATTAGTAAAGGAGAAACAGTACTGACAATATTAACCTCTTTGTGCATTCAGGTTAAATAAGTTGTACACCTTCCATTAAAGCAACATTAGGTAAATCAGTTTGCAGCCATTTCTAAAAGCCTGTTATAATAATGTCTTTACGAGCAGAAGAGAGAATCGTAAAAGTGCTAATCATATGAAATGTGACCCATGATCTAAGAACAGTGAGAAAAACATTTTAAAATAGTTTTATTGATTCTATTAAAGTTCTAACTTCAAATATTTCAGGATCAAATTATTGTGTTACGTGTTTAAATACCAGAGCTCACATTCTGACTTTAGATAACCGACTGATTATAAAGTTCATATGATAGTTTCTTCTCTTTAAGTGTTCAAGTGTGCTTATGGAATGGATTTAGTACATATCAAGACTCATAAGAGGCACATATTAAGGAATATGAATTGTTTCTTTTAAATGCACATTAACATAATTAGTTCCCTCAATGTGATGCAGTACATGGGAATAACAGGAAACACAGGGTTGTGTTATCTGGATGATTTTGAGTGGTTGGAGGTGTTATTAATTGGGCAAAGTCAGTCTGAACGTGTTTGCTGTGGTTGTTAAGTTTGAAGTGTCCTCAATACAGTAATAATATGCCAGAGTGTAGCCTCTAAAGAGAAGGTGTGCTGTGCATCCCCTCTGTTGTTGATTTCAAAGTCTGGTTTTGTGTGATGTAAACCTGGACGGTAAACCTAACAGATCACCTGAATACATCATATCCTGCCACTAGAGAGCGACATCCACCAGGTTATTTTCCTCAAGAGAAAGAAACACTATTTTTGAAGGCATGGGATTCATACTTCTGTCAAGTATCACACACAAAATGTATTCTGCTTTAACTCTGACCTGCACATTATTTGGCTCAACAAAGTGCCTACAATCCACAAATTGTTGTGTCACATCAATGCATTTGCACACTTCTGCACACTCATTCACACTCGCAGCGTGTCCCCCACTACACTGGTCCATAACCCTCCCTGATACCCCCTCTCTCTTTCTCTCCCTCTCAGTCTGGGCCCACTGCCAACTCAGCCCCCCC